TGAAATCGCGGTTTTAGCGCCGCGGTGTTGTCGGCGCGCTGTTTTCGACGCGCTTTTGAAATCGCGGTTTTAGCGCCGCGGTGTTGTCGGCGCGCTTATGACGTTCGCGCTTTTGATGGGTCACGCATTTTCACAGCTGATTCAATATGTCTGAATGAGACTTACAAGCTAAGAATACTTGTGCAAGCGTATTTCACAAAATCAGTCAGTGTCCTAATCAGTTTTATGACAGTTGTTAATCATAACTGCTAAAAAGCTCTTACGTTTAGTTTTGGTTTTTGTAAGTTCCACAACAATATTCTGATTACTACACTGTTGCAAGATACATTTTCAAACAAGCTATACAATGGACAAGGTTACACATGAAGGCTTGGAAAATTTTCCACAAGAGTGCACTCTAACAGCTCCTAGAAAAAGACACAATGCCAGGAAAACTACCTAACCTATTTATAAAGGGCCATCACTTCTCTCTTGATTTGTTGCCATTCTTTGGGAGATATGACTGGAGCTGTTTTAACACTAGAAATGCAATTTCATTTGATATGCAATTTTGCTTGATGTGATTGGATTCTTTTAAAAATTTAAATGCAATCTAACATGGACTTTTACAAAATAAAGTTATTTTGTCCTATAATCAAAATACTGAAATATATATTTAATTAATAGCAAATTATACCTCATTATTCAGAGGGGGAAAATCAGCTTCCTTATAGCAGAAATATTAAGAGATTTTTTAATTACTTCCAGATTATTTTAGAGTTTCAGTTGAGAGAGAAAAGGTATGGAATAATGCTGACAACGTGGAGCATTACGTGGAGCTTTGAGTTTTATTCTGATTGCAACCATAAAGTTCTTAAAGAGCTAAAAGCATGCAATCATTTGTTCAATTTTACTCTTTCACATGATCTTCCATGTAGCATTGGAACAAATAGAACATTATTGAGAATCAAAAAATGCCAAATAAAAATAATATTCATGCCTCATACCATCAGTTAAATTTTATCAAACATGACATACCTTGTGAACAAGAGAATATCTTCTTGTAGATAAATATGGCTTAAAAATCATATGTGCAATTATATTTATAATACCAACGCTAGCTGAACAGATGCATAGCCATGTCAAGTGTGTGTCCAGGATTGAGAAATTATTCAAGAACAGAGAAGGAACAATAGTAGTTACAATAACAGAAAAGATACAGATGACATTAGCAGTCAGCAATCTCTTTATTTCTGTATCTTTCATGGTGTCTTATTTTTAATTTCCACCTGTGGAGAAGCAAATTAAGGCATTTATATCAATATTGGTAGTGACAACAATTCTCCTTTGTACAAAAGATAATGCATTCCTACAGAAATAAAATGGGTTTATAGCATAGCAATGTTTTTACATGTTTACAAACATTTTACATGTTTGACAAACTAAATAAATAAATAAATAAAATCTTCCTAGAGTAACTTTTAGGGACATGAAAAAACAAGCAATCTCCAAAGTGATTATTTGTTGTATGAAAGAAAATAAAAATATTCAAAATAGTTGATAAAAATGGCTTTTAACACCTTCAACATACTTTCATTTATTAAGAAACTACTCCAAAGTAATGACTCCGGGTCTTTCCAACTTCTCCTATGCACTAGGTTGGTTTAGTTGCAAACACCTCAATTCCAAATGAAGACAACTGGAAGTAAGATACATCCTCTTTTACCTTCAGAAAAAGAATGTATCTCTCTCTCTGTCTGAATCACTGTTCAGATCTGATCTCTTTCCAAGCAACCTGCATCAGTGAAGAATGGAGCCTAACAGATACACCCATAGATGCATGTATCTCGGCAACAGTTACAACAGTTCACTTAGTGACCGTTCAAAGTTACAATGGCAGTGAAAAAAGTGACTTATGACCATTTTTCACACTTATGACAGTTGCAACATCTCCGTTGCGACATGATTTATATTTGTATGCTTGACAATTGATTCACATTTACAACGGTTGCAGTGTCCCATAGACCCATGTTCACCTTTGGCAATCTTCTGATAAGCAAAGTCCATGGGAGCATCAGATTCACTTAACAACTAATTTAACAACTTCAGTGATTCCCTTATCAAATGTGGCATAGGAAGTCGTAAAACGGGGCAGAGCTACTTAAAACATTTCTCATTTAGCAACATAAATTTTGAGCTCAACTGTGGTTGTAACGTTGAGGACTACCTGTACAGGTTTTTATTCACAACGAAGCACCAAAAGGTACTTCAGGTCAGGCTTTGCAAGGTTGATTTAAGTTGTTTAAACAAACCAAGTTTAAATAAGCTATTTTTCTTACCATCGATAGAATAGGGTGAAATTGTTATTTTTTATTGTTAAATTATTTATATGCCGCCCTTTTCCCTGAGGGGACTCAGGGCGGCTTACAACAATGGAGGGAAGGGAGTGCAAGACAAGACTTAAAAAGAAAAAGAA